ATTGTTTAGTTGCCAAAAATGAGCAGCCTCCTGTAATGTGGTCTATTGTCTCTTGATTAATGTTACATAACCTGCATTTATCCGATACTACTGCTGGATTCTTAATTATGTACTTCTGACAATTTTTGGTGTTTATAATTTGATCTTGAATTGCAATCATAAAACCTTCTGTTTCTTTGTATATACTTCCCTTACTGAGCCATGCGTTTGATGCTTCTATATCTATATATTCTTGATATAGTTGATTAGGGTATTTTCCATGAAGAGATTTCTGTTTCCAATTATTAATTATTTGTTCATCTGTGGCAATTTGTTCAATAACCATATTACTGTCATTTAATTTTAAAGGTGTGCCTGAAGTGGATATTAGTGTGAGAGCTCTGTGTAAGGGACTGTTATTTGCTTTTCTGTGTATGTATGTGCGAATATTGTATATCTGTTTATTGTGAAGATTTTTTATATCGTTTACGCCCCTCCCTCCTAATCTTCTCCCTAAGTTAAACCGTTCTATTGCCGAATGGATGTGGTGTATGTTATGTTTATTACAAGTCAGTTCGTGTGAGTCTATTTAGTCTATCCAAGTCTGTAGCTGTCCACTTTAAGATTCCGAAAGAATATGTTTAAAACTGGCACTGCATATGTATTAATAGCTGTAATTGTATTCCTTCCCGTCAATTCTGTCTTTAGTATTTTATTGAGCCTGTCCGTGTATTTTTTAGTTAACTCTTCTTTTATCTTATTATGGTCTAAACCTGTACTTTGTGAATATCCTAAATATTTGTATGTATCTGTTAATTCCATATTATCTATTTGTAGGTTACGTTGTGTTTGTAATATATATGGATCAGTGTCGTAGTGTTTTCCTTTTATTATACTGCTTATTTTGCATTTATCAATTCCAAAGTTCATTTTAATATCTGTACTAAATTGTTCTGTGGCCTTTAAAAGATTATTTATTTGTAGTTTGCTAGCTGCATATAATTTTATATCGTCCATGTAAAGTAGATGTGTAATTTTTGTATCTGTATCTTTGTTTAATACATAGCCCTGTTTACTTCTATTTAATATGCGGGATAATGGATTTAACGCCAGACAAAACCATAGTGGACTTAATGAGTCCCCTTGAAATATACCACGGGCTATCTTTATAGGACTAGAACGAATCGTTCCCGTCGGTGGTTTTGTATTAATATTAAGTATAGTTGTCCATCTTTGCATGGTGTGGTGCAGAAATTCTATTAATTTGCTGTCTATTTTATATATGTTTAGAACCTGTGCTAACCAAGAATGAGGAACACTATCAAATGCCTTTTGATAGTCGATATACGCGAAGTGTAGATTTCTGTGTGTTTGTTTAACTTGATTATGTATTTCTGTATCTATTACTAATTGTTCTTTACAGCCTCTTGAACCTTTTCTACAGCCTTTCTGCTCTTCAGCTATAATATTGTTTTGTATAAGATGCGAGTTGATTTTATGTGAGATGATAGATGTGAGTAATTTGTAAAGTGTTGGTAGGCATGTGATTGGGCGGTATTTAGCTGGGTTTACCGTATCCTCATCCTTTGGTATTAGATAAGTGTTTCCCATGATAAGAAACTTGGGTAAACTGCGTGGATCTTGAATGATAGTATTAAAAGCATTGGCTATGTATTCGTGAGTTGATGAAAAATATTTTTAACCAGTAATTTTGAATTTTATCCGGTCCAGGTGTTTTCCAATTTAGCGTCCTTTTGATTGCTATTTCTATATCTATTTTGTGTATTGTAATTTCTGGCATAGGATCAAAATGTTTTGTTGCTTCAAGTTCTTCCTTAATCCATTCTGCTTCACTATTATGTTCCACAGGTTTTGACCATATATTTCCCCAGAATGTTTTTACTTCTGTTATGCTAGGTGGTTCTTTTATTGTTGGCTTTTCACTGAAATTTCTATAAAATGTTTTCTGGTTATTGCTAAACATTATATTGTCTCTGTGTCTTTGGTTAGATTTTTTATATCTTCGTAGTCTTTTCGCCAATGCTTGCATTTTTTGGGTTTTATTGTCAAGGCTGTCTATTGCTTCTTGTGTATTTTTATAAATTTTACTAATTTTTTTTTGGTTTTTGATTGATAGCTTCTCCTTAATATACTGATTTAATCTTCCTATATCTTTTCTGAGGGCTGCAATCTTAACTTCCAGTCGTCTCTCCCATGCTGGTTTATTGATACTTCTTTTAATCGTTTCTTTTTCGATACTTTTATTGTTGTTACGCTTTTCTGTATTATTGTGTATTGATGTTGCCGTTAATGCTGCGCAGTATATTATGTCATGTATTTGTTCTATGGATGGTTGTGTAATATTTATTAGTTCGTTATTTATCAGTTGATTCAGCATGTTTACTGTTGTTTTTGACTTACGCGTAATGTTTAGTTTTGGCAGTACAGGTCGTGTAAGGGGATCAGTTCCTACATATTTTGTCAAATGTTCATTAAATAGATGATTACACTTTTGTAGAGTATCAATATCATGGTTTTCTGGTTCAGTGTCTAATGCTTGTGTTTGCGTTGTAAACATTTTGTACGTGTGATAATAGTGTAGATGTATGTAATATGGATGTTCCTGTTGTTTGTGTAATTGGCATTTGGATACCTAATATTTGAAGTACATTGGTTTCTCCAGTTGGTTGGGTTAGATTCGTTTCTTGAATGTCTGTATTTGTCTGGTAAGATTGACGATTTGTGTCTGTTGTGGTTAAGTGACTGGTTTGATTGGATATTGAAATAGGATCATTCAAAATATTTTGTATTTCTGTCTTAATTATTTCTCTCTCTGTGGGAGAAATTCTGTTATTGCGGTGTATAACCCGTATCTGGTCTGCTAATCGTTGTTGTGAAACGATGTTATGTAGGTCGGGGTAGATAGAGATGAATTTATTGTAAAGTTCTGGGCGATATCCAGTGAGATCAGTTTCGCAATGTGTGACTGTGTAGTAGCAGCGGAGTAGTTGTTTGTTAATTTCATCACTCCATTTCATCCGTTGCCGTTGTCTGCCAGCGAGAGTGGTTGCAGGACGCATTTCCTGCAAAGCACTTCTCGCCGTTTCATGTATAGTATTCTGTGTAGGTGTGTCTGTTGTTTCGGCTGTAGTATTTTTATCGGTGAGAGCCCGCCTGTTCAACTCCTCACCGCTGACGGTTCGCATGCTGAGACACCCAGCGTCAGCTCCAGGTGTGCCCCGACGATCACCCTCGGGAAGCGGCCCTATTCGTTTCCTTTTTCTTTGCGTCTCCATATTTTATGGGTTACCAGTGCCATGTTAGCCGTGCCAGTAATTATTAATCACGTGTCCGCCCCTCACGTGAATCAGATGGTCGAATCGGACGTATGGTTGGATTTGGAGGGGCTTATTATTATTATTATTATTATTATTATTTATTGATATCAAGTTGTCTTTTAGAGGTCTAACTGAATTATTCTGTATTATGTGGCCCAGGTATTTAACTGAGTCTGCTGCAAATGTGCATTTAGAAAATTTCAGTCTAAAACCATCACTTTTAATTGCTTGAAATAATTGTTTTAAATGCCCGACATGTTCTGAGAAAGTTTTTGAGAACAACAAGATGTCGTCGATATAACTTACGGTGAATTCTCCGAGCTTATGTTTTCGTATAACATTACACATTATTCTCTGGAATATTGCTGGCGAGGTTTTTAGGCCGAATGGTAAACAAGTCCATTGAAAGTGACCTTCCTGTGTGACGAATGCAGTTTTATATCTGTCTGTGACACGCAGAGGTATTGACCAAAATGCTGAATTCAGGTCCAATGTTGAGAAAAATTTGCAATCTCTTGTTTTTACTATTAGGTCTTCAATAAGTGGAAACGGCTGTGACTGCGGAACAACAATTTTATTTAAGTCACGAAAATCTATGCATAGTCTTCACTTTTCTTTTATAAGCTAATGTAACTGGGGCTGCAAACGGACTATATGATTCTTCTATTATATTTTTTCCAACAATTTCGCAATCTGATTTACTATCTCCTTTTTATCTTCAATGGTGCAACGATATGGCCTTTTACTGCAATATTTTTCTACTATCAGATCAATATGTGCTTCATAATCCGTTACCGTTCCGATGTCATATTTGTCCTTTGCAAAAACAGATTTATTGTTCAATATCAAGTCATCAATTACTGCTTGTTTTTGATAGTCTAGATGATTTATACAAATTTTGAAGTTCTCTACACTGAAGTTTTCGTTGAAATTCATTAAATTATCAGATTTTATTTCCTTCGAAATATCAATATCTGTTTTATTTGTTTCCTTAGAAACTATTTCACTTCTTTGTATAGGAACTTTCTGATGTATTTCTAAGTTTTCATTTTGGATTAAGTAAAACTTTTTTATACAATCTAATCCAATTAAAAAATCGTAATCGAAATTTTCCTTGTCTATTACAAAGACATCCATATTTTTCTCAACATTAAAAATTGTTACATTAAGTGTTACTACGCCTTTAGCCTTTTTAACATTAGTTTTTTTGGTCTTCATATTGTAGTTCACATTCCAATTCTGAATTGTTTATGAGCTTTATTTAATTTTTTTTAATTTAATTAAAATTTTATTTAATTAAAAGAAAATAATATTTTTCTTTACATATATTATATTATATTATATTTTATATCAACCGACTTCAAAAAAGGACGAGGTTGTCAATTCGACTGTATTTTTTCAATGTTTGTTACCTCAGAACTATCGTCTGAGTGAACCGATTTTGATGATTCTTTTTTTATTTGAAAGCTGGTGCTTCCCACGTGGTCCCATATTAATTTCATTTGTATTGGATCTTGAGCTCCGGAGACACTAAGGGAACTACTGAAAATCAATTATAAAATGAATACTGAGCGAGTTATCTGAAGTCGGTTTTGTTTTTGTTTAATAAACAAGTCCATTTTTTCTTTTGGTAATTAACAGTTGCTATTATAAGTCGTCAGTGTTCCCGTGTTAAAAATATACCTTATGAGGATGTCTGCTCAGCTCCCAAGTCGACATCGCCCACAGCTGCCCCTCGCTGGGCAACTTGTAACCAGCCAGCAAGTCGCATAGGTTCTTCCGGCCGTGATGGATCAGGCCCGACAATGAGATCACTTGGCCCCTGCCCATTCCGAAGTACACGTTTCGAATAGTACAGCTGCTTGTACTAGCTCTCGTAACATTAACAGCCAGAAGGTATTCGCCGAAACTCTTTGTGCAGCCTAAAACCATTTGGATGTTTGCGTTTGTTAAACGAGTAAATCAATATCATCATCCCAATGATTTCACGTCAATTTTATGTATATTTTTGTGACAGAAAAGGAACCTTATAATTGATTTTTTACTCCATACAAGTATGGAGTAAAAAATAACAAAAAATTAATAATTGAAGTCAAAGGTCTGTCTTCAGAAGAAAGGTTAAGGATCGTGAAAGCATTTTAGAACTGAAGGTAGTATTTTAATTTTAGTAAAGTAATATAATGAAAAGAAAGACGCTAACTGTTTTTATTATGTATCGATTTATATCTCTCGATAACGTTTTCTTTCTCCCTCTGTACTCCCAATGTCTCAGTCTCAGGCGCGTACTTATGAGAGTATATTTTCCTTGCTGCGTACGCGCATGAACGCTGTATCAATCTATATTCCCACAGAAGAAGTATCGTAACAAATATAAAAGAAGTGGTGATAATCGCCAGCAATTCCATTGCAACTCCAGTCTCTGTGTTGAGGAGATAAGATTTCCTTCTGAAACATTTTTGTAACACGCCACATTTTTCTGGAAAGAAATTATTTTGCTTTTGTTCAAAGTGCACAACATTAAAGTAACGTCTAAACATCAGCTAAAGTATTTTTTTTGCACGTAAAATAATTCGAATTGAGTTCGCGTAGCTAGCTGGCGCATCTAAAACTAATTAGGATGTTTAGATACATAAGTAAACAGTTGTAAGGAATATTTTAAGTTTTAAATGGTCATGTATGACGAAATGTAGAGGTCAATCTAAACTCTCTACACCGCTGTAGCTAGCTACACAGGTTATTAGATCCGTTACAATGTGAACAATGTTTTTATTACCACAGCATTTGTGTAGAGTTTTGGCCGAACAGAGATTCTTCGTTTTGAATATCACACACTCCATATTGTAGAGGAAGATTTTCTGTATTTTCGAGTAAGCGTAGGCCATATTGAATTGTGGCGAGAAGCTCATGAATTGCAGAGCGTAGCTCCACGCGTGTCCATAGTGGATCTTGGCGATTATTGTTGTTTCGCCTGGAAAAAAACATGTTTTGGGTTGATGGTAACAAATAGTGAGCGGTTCATCTGATAGCGAGTGATCACCGCAACATAAAGATAAGCATTACTAATAGAGTAGCAAACGTTGCTAGGTGCTACGAACCTTAAAGGGCGGGGGTCGTAACTTATTAACCAGATGAAAGGTAAAAAAAACAAATAGTGGTTTTCTTGTGATGACGTGAATATTACACATGTATATTTACATAAAAATATGCGTGTATGTATGGTCTTTATGGACTTCGGTTCGACCGATTTTGATGACATTTTTAAGGCAACTTTCAGGTTAATATAGCAAACATGCTGAATTGACCTATACTATTATATAGGATATATATAAATAGCACGATCGAACTTTGTTAAGTTTGGTAGCGATCGTATGAACAAAGCTATTTGTGACAGTGCTACCAGCGCTAAAACTACTTTACTGATTTTATCGCGTTTGATCGCCAGACCATGTATTGTGGGATAAATGAATTACATTGGACAGACCGGACATCGCATTGAAGGCGTCGCGTTGCTCCACTACAGTAACATGTTTTACCGTGGTGGGGCCATGCAGCAGTCTTCGTTGTTGCACGAATGGGCACATCCACCCGGAGAAGTACCACGACTTCACAGAAGACCGGCGAGAAGTGGAAATGTTATACTTCTGTGTTTCGTCTGCTGAATGAGGTAGCCAGGTCCCACTTTGTAAAAAGGTGGTAATGCGTCTGCAACTGTACGGGTGTTTAAATGTAAATAGGCGGCGGTAAACACTGAACATCAGGCGAACCATTTGCTCGCTTGCCAAATTTTCACATAAAAAACGACTCCTAATATAAATAGAGGAGTCGTCTTTATTTATAGAAAATATAAAGAAAGACGACTCCTCGGTTGTCCAGCAATAACTTACATATCAGCTCCCGCTACTCGTGTATGCCATTTCAACCGATGAAGTACTGCGAGCCGACAGAAGGAAGGCATGAAGTTTTTTTTTTATGTGATAAGGAAGCAAGCGACCAGTTTGCTTGGCACCTTATACGCACGTGAAAGTACACTTTTGCAATACGCTGAGTGAGATAACGAAAGACGAACTCAGTGCTTTTTGAATAGGTTTATGTTTTGCGAGTAAAAATTTGTTCTTTTTCGTATCTTTTTGATCATTGTATATTTTCCGTACTTACTCTGATACGTAAAAAAAATAAAATTACTTTATAGAGCTAACTTTACGATTGTTCTATCCGACCAGGGACATCTTTTTTTCTTTTGCATTCGTATGACTATAAGCAGATATTAAACAACGTTCTCTTACCCAATATTATGTTAACTATTACAAAAACCATAGAATTTAATGCCGCCTGGGAGCCTAAGCTGAAAACATAGGCCTGCGGTATGCATCCCACTCCGTAGACAAACAGCAATAGTGGTAGTATAGCTTAAATATAAAAATTACGAAAGACAGGTCATATAGTTAGATAACATTAGATGTTACATTTTACTCTTTAATAATCGCTGTATAACTTTGTAATAAATATTTTGTTAATCCATGACTCTACTCATAAATGCTGGTACTACATGTAACACAAACTACAGAAATAAGGGAAAATGGTTTTGGAAAAGCGAAAGCCGACCACGTGTTTAATTATAAGTTTTTATTAGTGATAATAACAGAATGGCCTTGTACTCTAGAATAGCAAGGAATTAACATATTACAATTATAACTTACAATTTATCTTAGAAGTTAAAACAAAGATGCAAGACAAATAATAGAACATTTTAAGTATTAACGTTGTTGTCGTACTTTTACTGACATTTTTTTCGTCTTTTCGTCTTTATTTTTTTGTACATTACCCTTACTTTAGGATAACATTATCCTGTGTTGTAAGGACACTTTACAAACATAAATTTCACGCGGACAAACACCCAGATGCGAAACAACTATCTGTGGGCCACACAAATAGTTGTCCCGTGTGGGAAACGAACCCACGACCCCCGACGCCGAAGCCAATGCCTTGGCAACTGCGCCACGGAGTCATCAAACATTTCAATTTAATTAGATTCAATTTCACTCACCAAAGTCTTCGACCTGAAAATAGGGTGACGGTGCCACCAGGTATATGATGGTAACTATAATGGACGTCATAAGCACCACTAAGAGGAAATACAGGAAGGTGTCGCAGACAAACATCGTCAGCCAGTAACGTATTGGAGAGAAATTCTCCGTGTGGCACTGGAACGTAAATGAGATATGAAATTGCATTGTCATCGAATTCATTGCATAGTTGAAAATCAACAGCAAAGTATGTTCTGAATAAGTAAGGAAATAAATAAGAAAGAGAATTAATAAAACCGTTAGATAATGATTATTGAATACATGATATAATAAACAGCTTTGACTTTCAATAAAGTGCTTCAAAGTTTTCCAAGTAATAAGAAGTGGAATTATGTAATGTATTTAAGAAGAGAAAATAATATCCCCACAATAGATATTTTGGAACCCATTAACGAATAATAAATTTGAAGTGTGAACATAATTTTATAGGCCTACCTAGTTTTTGCTTAAAACCTCTTAATTACAAAAAGAAATTCATGATATTTCAATGTGTCCCAAGTATCATTTGTCATGTTTAATTATACATAATTTACTCATTACCCCAATTAGAAGAGGGAAGAATACGTGATTACCTGCATGTGCCTTACGAGTCCATGTTCTTTTGAAGGCATCAGGGTTATGTGCAAAATGGTGAGGATAAGCACAAACTGCGTAAGCAGCGGGGCTTGAGCTACGTACGTCATCCACTGTGGATGGAAAATCGCAGCATTTACTTAAATGACGTATTTATTTAAAGCAATAGTAATATTTTGAACAACAATCTTAATTATGCTAAATATTGGTAGAAAGGATAGATAGCTCCCTAGATTTTATCGAGTTTATTTATTCACAAAAGGGAAGTTATGATCCTTCTCGCTGTAGGTAGTATAAGAACACATTTGTGTGATCTATTTTTTTTACAAATAAAAGCGAATCTCATTGTTACTGGAGCCTGTCAAAGTCAAAATTTCTTAATCAATACAGGCTTATTTTAGGCTCTTATTGGACGTCAAAATAACTTTTTTTAGGTGAGAAGTTGGCAAGCGTGCTGGCGGTTACATGAAGATGAATTGAAATTGAAAGACGTTGCCCTGTACACACGACTTAAATCCGGTAACTCAAAAAAAAATGGTGAATCTAAACCACTCTCGAGTTGACCTGACGACACACAAAAAATTTCATTTAAATCGGTCTAGCCGTCTAGGAGGAGTTCAGTGACATACAAACGTACAGAAGAAAGAGTATATATATATATATAATATATATATATATATATAAAGAAGGTATAAAGAGCAAGCAGGCTCACCCGCGTAAGGTCTAATGCTAGTGGGTCGTCGGTGACTTGGATGGTTGCATCAAGGACGCCTGTGTAGTGTCTCAAGAGGGCCATGAACGCGCGGGCAAGCGACCGCGGCGCAACCGCGCAGTCGTAATGCAAAGGGCTGTACAGAACTCTGATCTGGGATTTAAAATGTAAATTTAAGATTGTGCAAAGGTAAGACAAGTAGTGGGTAGATGAAAATTAAATTACACTCAAGCTTCCATTCTGACTTTTAGCATCGATTCCGTAGGCGAACATCCTGACGTAGTGCTGAGGCGCGTCGATAGCCCGCGTCACCAGATACTCCTTCAGACTCTGTCATCAATATTATTAACCATGATAGTATTTTCACGAGGAATGTATACCAAAAATATATCCGTGACATGATTTATTAAAAACGAGTTCCCGGCCCCTAATGAAATTGTTAATTTTAAGTGCTGACCTATCACGTGCTCAGCGAATCCACCTGCATATTTCGAAACAATAACAAAAAAAAAATATTTTGAAAATATGTGAAGTCCACCAATCCGCATTGGGGCCGCGTGGTGGACTGTGCCCTGATACTGTATTGTACAGAGGAGGCCTCTGCCCAACAAGCCACTTGAATAGAGCAGGAACATGTATAAGCTGTTACTTTATATGATTTATTTACAATCATGAAGTTCAATGAGTGGCCTTGAATGAATATCTTTGAGGCAAGTAACTACAATACATACACACCTCTCTTGATGCCAGCGCTGTGTAACCGATTGCATCAATTTCATCTGCAGTCGCATTTGTTTCAGATAGAACGTAGCTAAAATTATTAGGAACAGTTAAAAATTAGTTGGTTTCGATTCTTATCAATAAATTATTACATTTGATTTAAAGACATTTCTATATATTCTACACGCGATGACTCCGTGGCGCAGTTGCCTAGGTATTGACTTCGGCGTCGAGGGTCGTGGGTTCGATTCCCGCACTGGAAAACTATTGTGACCCACAGACAATTGATTCGGATCCGGGTGTTTGTTCACGATGTTTGTAAAACGTCAATGATGCAAAAGGGCAATGATTTAAAAAAAAAGATAAGGTTTACTACTTAACTTATATGTAAAACCGGATGTTCTAAAAAAAGCAAGTTTTGCTTTAAAAAAGATTCAAAACCTTATAACGGAAAATAAATATATTATTACATAAAATTTACTTCAAATCTCACCTATTTGCGACAGATATAGCAACGCTGGAGTTGTCTAAATGCATTACCATTGTGGTATTTTTTTTCGTTGCCTCAACGGTCAAAAGCTAAAATCGAAGCAAGCGTGTATTTAGGCAGCTGTAGGTATATCAAGATTAAGTCAAATGGAACATTTCATTTGCTCCATTTATATTAATGGGTGTGATAACTCTGCTAGGGCCACGCATCACCTTTTGATGTCACACGAATGGGCAGGTCAGTCCGGGTACGTACCACTACCTCCAGAAGACCTGGGTGAAGTGGAACTGCTTAGGTGCTTCTGCATTTCATCAGCTGAGTGAGGTAGCCGGGGCCCACTTTGTTAAAAGGCGGCAACGCATCCGCAACCTGCAGATGCGTCGCCACAAAACAAAATTGTAAAACGTTGACAAACGAGCACGTGGTCCACCTGGTGTTGAGTGTTTTACGCCCTTCGTGGACATCTAGAGACACCAATTGCCGGACCCGGTTCCTGGCTCACGAGATGAAATAAAAAAGTACAATACTTGCACTTCTCGCCAGCTTTTGCGAGGCCTTGGTACTTCTTCGGACTAGCTTGCCCAATCGTGCCACAGCAGAAACTGCTGCGTGGTCCTAACACAGTAAAACTATATGAACAATCATGCAGCAATAATGTACTATATAAAATCATTAAAAATCTTATAATATGTACTATACATGTTATAAGATTTTAACGATACTATTTCATTCTTTTCTTTACCATCTTTTTAATAAGCCAATATTAGAAACAAACAAGGTTTTTAAACCTCTGTATTGATTAAGCTCGTGTAAACTTTTTTAAACTTTTACATTCTTTACCGTCACATGGCTATTTTTTTTTTTCGTTGTTTGGCAGACAATGATTACTGTATCATTTATACAAATGATATAGTTTATTGAATTACATATGGCATGGCAATTGGCAACAGTTAACAGATTTCTCGTTTGTTCAAGTTCTGATTGGTGTAATCTATTCGCCAGGTCTTGCTGCTTGTATTAAATTTTCTAAAATATCTAAGATCTGGTTAGACGTACTTACATTTCCGTGAAGCATCTTGCTTGCTATGTGATCTCTTTCCAAGAATAACAGTAAATTAGATAAGGTCACTCCGATCACAATTCCGGTTACGGCTGCGGATGTTATCTGTAACATAAGAAGCAATATTAGTGGTGTCTAACATTAGTGCCACAATGGCGATGAATATTGTATGTCCGAAAAACTGTAGATTGTTGTTTGTATTGTGTGGTTTTTCAATCTCATTAAACCATAAGCCTGATTTGAAACGACGACAAATTCTTGCAGGCATATTTTTTGAACAATGCAAAATAACTTAACTTTATATCCCAAATCCAGAAATACAACCCTGCCACGACAAATGCCTACATTTTATAAGTTTACGTTTACGAAAAATTTTTAGCAAAACTGTAACCGGCTAATATATTGAATGATTATTAAATTGATATCTAAAATGTGTCTTTAAAATTTTTAAATCAACTAACTACTATTTAAAACAATGTTCGTATGTTTAACTGATGATTATATAAAGCAAAGTTTTGTTTATACGTTACCATCATCATGAAATAGGTCTTGTGGTAAGCGTAAAACGTGTAATATTTCGTGGCGAAGCTTTTCAGAAGAGTTCCAGTAATGACGGTGCTTTTTTTTCGTTTCCAAAGTGGAAATTCTGCATGAAAAATTTATTTGTAATCTTTTTGGTAATTCAGCCGATTATTGTATTGTTATGGCTTATAATAAAGTTACCTGCAATGCGCTTCAAGGCATTCCTCGGTACTTCATGTGGAACCGAGTGATAGAGTGATGTTCTGACTTTCACCTCATTAATAGCCCTGGAATTTTATTATGACTCGCAAATTATATCAGTAAGATAGCGGTCGTTAAGATATAGAGATTATAAATGTATACATAGCAGAAGTCCACAGCCAATATATGCGATTATAAATAATGCAAGAATTATAAGGATTCTACCAATCCAGTTACAACTAACAACTGCCTCACGCTTGATATTTAAGTAGGCTGGTAGACGATCGCTAGCGTGATCCAGACAAAAAAAACGTGCGCACAATTCAATTTAGTTCTCTATGCAGTTTCTCATGCGCTGCTTTAAAATAACTTGCAACGGTCACAATCGGCTTAATGGAACGAAGTCCGACCTGTTGCAGACCTCCTCCGAGTCAGGCACGCTGATATTCATGGAGGTGATGCCGTATCGGGAGGAGTTCTCGGTCAAATCCTTGACCAGGGCCGCCGCGGCCGCCGTGGGGGTCGTGGGCAGCCTGAGGATGAGGAGGGAGCCCAGGTTGGCTCGCACCTTAGCCCCGGCCACCTGCGCCTTCAGGAGTATCTCGGGCAACGCGTCGTTATCCAAACTGCCTCTGCTGAACGTCAGCCGGAGGCGATATTCCCGACCTGTTATATATCCTTAGTATTAGCTTATTTATTATTAACTAGCTTTTCGCCAGCGAAGCCTTTAAATAAATAAAACCTTTCAAAGCTTTGCAACATTTTTTTCCAATTAAAAATAGTCTATCTGTATACCAAATGTCATTTAAATCGGTTCAGTAGTTTTGGCGTCAAAGCGAGACAGACAGACAGACAGAGTTACTTTCGTATTTATAATATTATTATGGATTAATCTGAAATTGGGAAGATTAGTGTTGATGTAAACTGATCCAGAATGTTACTTTCAAATTATTAAGTTAGTAGTTAGTAATAACATGGCAAGCAGTATTCGATGATAACGGGGTAAATGGAGATGGTGTCGGGAAACCAAAAACTCTTGTGCCAGTTTCTAGAATTCGAATGCAATATGTATCAAGAATTTCAATTACATCACGGGACAAATGTTCGTGTGAATAAAGTTATACTAAATAATAGACAATGCTGTGCAAAAATAAAGGAATAACCCGCGAGCGATCGAAAAACTACCATTATTATTCACAAATTAATGCTACTGGTTTTTTTTATGTGAAAAGTTGCCAAACGAGCAGACGTTTCACCTGATGGTAAGTGAATACAGCCGCCCAAGGACATCTGCTACACCCGAGGGTTGCAGATGCGTTGACAACCTTTTGAAAATTGAACTGTGCTACTAGAGTTTAGATTAAACAGAAAAGAACTTACCAAATTGAAAGAATAAGTAACCAGGAGTACCGCCGAAGACGAGGACCTTGCTGTCAAACAGAAAGACGCGATCGGCGTACTCGAGTTTAATGCTGGCGAAGCAGAACTTCACTATGGTGATGTATTTCTTGTAACGCTAAAAATATGCATTGAAAGGAATACGGTGTGCTTTTGAAGCATAGAGAACTTAAACGTCACTATCAAGACGGGTCGGTATTATACATTTCCTGCCTCGCACAACCACTTTGTGGAAACAGCTGCCGGCGGTCTTTATAAACCTTTACGACCTGGGTACCTACTAGAAGAGAGCAATTTATTTCCTGAAAGGCCGGCAACGCATTTGCAAGCCCTACGGTGTTACAGATGTTCATGGGTGGCGGTGATCACTATCAGGGGAGCTCTTTTCCATAAAAGAAATTAAGGAGTGGTCATTACTATTACGCTATAAGGCGACGGACTGTATCTAAAGCTAACTAAAATCTAAAGAGTCTATTTGGGCTCAAAAAATAATAACTTGACAAATGATTTTACAATTCTTCATAGATTTATTAAAAATTAAAACAATTTCGGGACACCATTTCCATGTCTTTTCTTGTTGTAAGCATTAAAAGCAGCCAAATATTCTACTGATGTGTTTCTAAAATGCATTAACATGTATTTTGGAAAAACGCAATTATATTATTGTTGTGAAATTGAAATGACCTATTACAACATTAATATATATTTTTCAGAGCTTTTTAAGTTTACAATGTGAATTTTTAAATTTTTTTTAGTGTATGTTATATGGATCCCATGACCTAAATTTTTGGTACGTAATTTTTTTTAAATATATTAACTGTAGTTTCTTATCATTTTTTAACAAACGTTCTATGTAAAAATCTTACCATTATCTTATCTTTAATCACTGCATCGTACGTAGCTGACGAGGGTAATGTATGCAAAATTATAATCTGAAAAATAACAAAAAAGATAAACGAAACAACATCTACTAAAACACAGGCATATAGTGTCAAGAAAAGTAATTTTTTGTAATACGTTTATATTTTTAATAGTTATTTGTAGTCGCTGATAAACGGGTGAGCAGTTCACCTGATGATAAGTGATCACCGTTTCACATCTAATAGGTGACTTTCCGACCCTTTTTTGCCAATTCAAAATGCCAAAATGACGTATAGGTCATACTGGTCTTCTGAAGGTGGGACTTCGATTATCACAATCACAAGAAGGCGGCCGTCTATACTAGGTACTTCTAAGTAGAAGTTACATCGTTGTTCTACGTACATACCCTCGGTTCTAGAAGCAACGCAAAGTCCCAGCAGGGACTTCGGTTATCACAATCACACAGAAGGCGGTCGTCTGTACTAGGTACTTCTAAGTAGAAGTTGCGTCGTTGCTTTACCACGTACCCTCGGCTCTAGAAGCAACGCAATGGCCCAGCACAGCTGCGCCTGATAGTAGTCATCCAACCTCTTCACTCTCTTGTTCTTGACCTCCGTTAAGTCACATTCCTTCAGAAGCCGCTGCACACGTATCTGACTGTACTCGGTGATGTATTCGCTGGACTCGTTCCAGAGGCAAATCTGGAACATTTTTGCCACGTGAAATCGTTTGTCACCACTTGTGATTTACAACTTTTTTTCATTCAGGAATTGATTCATATTAGCATCCTGTATATGTTATAAGCTGTGATCTTTTCGCCGTGTGTTGCATGGCGCAGAAAGCTGTAATATTTGCACGTAAAAGAAAAGTATATAAATATATAATAATAATCCAAAACGGAAAAAAATCTTTTCTGCACTTTAAGTTGGTGCCTGGACGCGAATATATCCACACAGACACAAATATGTATTAAAACACATAAATACAGCGTTAGTAAATTGTGTTTAATGCAGCCATTAAGCTAAACCTTTAGCTAGATCTTTAGCGTTTCCCACCTGAAGCTCGCCGTGAAGTAACTTTTCAACTAATAAATTTGCGAAATCCCTACTAATATTATAAACGTGAATTTTAGTTTGTTTGTTACGCTTTCACGCCAAAACTACTCAACTTTGTACACACACTCTTAGCGGTATTAAAAAGCACTCTGTATATTATAGAAATTATACTTTTAAAAAAAGATTTCTATTTAAGGGCTTCAACGCGGGCGGTGCCGCGGGAGAAAAGCTAACATTAATTAAAAAAATGAATGAATGAATCAACACACTTTTATTGTCGACCACAAATGAAAATATAAATAAAAGTGACAGTAGAACAACAATGTACAATTTGGCGGCCTTAACGCTTCATAGCGATCTCTTCCAGGCAACCGATGGCGTATAGGAAACGTATATACGACACACTATAAAACAGACAGAGAAGACTATATAGAAAAATAGACAGAAGAAAAAGAATTGTTAAAAATCTGTCATCAAAAAATCACTGTATTAATATAATCATGTATCATGTACCTCTAGGTAAACACTTTACCTAGAGGTACATGATTAAATTAATAGTTTTTACCTCTAGGTAAAGTGTGAAATGCTCCCCCTCCACGAACGTGACCTCGCATATTAGGGGACTTTTTTTGCTGTGCACAGTATGGCCAAAATGACTTTAAAAAGCTGGTTGGAACTTTTCTTTCATGAAACTATAAAAAAAAAATTCGGGGGCTCATGTCCTCGCTCTCCAAAATTCATGTTGATTATTTGCCCTTTTGTCCGCGAACGTCAGACCTGCAATATTTATATAAATTAGGTCAATTACGTTTCGCTTTTCTCTTTCACTAGATATATGCATTAACCATAGGTTTTTTTTTTCAAAAAGCTGTTCGTTAGAAGTTATCTGTTAAAACATAAAACGTTGATAAGAAATGTTCGGGACGTTATTTATCGTTCTCCAAAATTCACATATTAATAATTTTATTTATTATTTTCTTTATGAACGTTAACTAATATTTAGTAACAACATGAATGTACCTTATCTTCAATATTTATAGCGTCTAAATTAGCGAAATTTGTTTCGCTTTGTACCTTTATACCTGATCCAATATGCATTAAAGAGAGTTTTGATTTTCAAAAGTAACATCCGTAAAATAAAGAAATTAGCTTTTTAAAAAGATATCAATTTTAATTCATTTACATTTGGTCATCAGTACTTAAGCATTATATTAATAATGATTTCACATTTTGGAAGCGTCAATTTCGCTTTATGATTTATCAATCAAGTAACTACATTCCTCTTAATGATTTTTAGTATATGGTACATTAACTGATTATACGAAGTATTAAAAAAAATATTTGTAAAACAGAAAAAAGAAAGAAGGTTTATTATTATAGACTTAGCATATTACCCGTGAGTAAATCCTCCATCGTAACCATCATCTGCCGCTGTACCCGATCCGCAAATATCATCGTGAATTCACCACGATATATATCGAATGTCAGATCGCTCAGTATTAAGGTCCCCATAATACTCTAAAATAACAAACATAAAAAAATGCAGCTAAATTGGGAATCTCACCCTTTTTGAAGTCGGTTATAAACGAACAAACTGATACTCTAGGAATCTTTAAACGTCGGCTTCAATTGATAACTAAACAAATCGTATTATTTTTATGGGTATAATATAATTAAAAATCCTAATTAAATATCAAAAAGGTAACTTGCAATAGATTTATTATAAAAGAAGGTTCATTTATAATAAAATTATCATTCATCATGAATGTTTTTACTTTTAGTTAACAATAGATAGCGACATATTTGACAAAACAATAGATAACTAGATGGCGAGTGTTTTTACACTGCTAAAAGACTCAGGATAAATTGAATACCTTCGAAACATTCCTGAAACTAATGGCTTTAGCCACTAGTTCATCGACTTCCTGAAGTTTGTCCCTTTCCGTTCCCGTGGGTGTTTCTATTCGGTGTAGCTTATTTACGTCCTAAAAATTATGAAACTCATTAGGATGAAGAGACGCCAGTAAAAGATTTCAACGTACTTTGCTGATACTTCAAACTCTACATCTGCCGTTATTCACTTTAAATGCTATGAATATGAAAAAATAATTTTTGAAAGTTAAGTACTATGTCAGATCTCCACATATCCACACTCTTCAACAGGTGAAATCTTTGGGTCCACAACATCATTTTGTTACCTTAACAATGCTTATTGTTAAAAGTCTTAGTTTTAGGTTTTAAATAGTGGTTAGATTAATTTACTTTCATACTAATCTAGTTCCAATGTTGTTTAAATAAACCCTAAACGTCCAAAATACATTAAGCACTCGCCACAATCCTCCCGAAAATTTGTATCTATGGATGGATGTTTGTTACTCTTTCACGCAAATACTACCGAATGGATTTTAATGATACTTTACAATAACATAGCTTAATCATCAGAATAAGACATAGGCTTATAATTAATATACATATTTTTATGTATATCTGTCTTTCTATCAAAATGTTACGCCTTCAGCCTATTCTAGCCCATTCGACGTAGTCGCGGGCAGCAGCTAGTTAAAAATAAATACTCGCCACACTCTTTTTAAAAAGGATAGACTTCCACGACACTTGTCCGCCTATCGCTTTGCCGTATCCGATAGTTCTTTGCAACATCATTAGTATAGCGAAATAGAAGGCGATCATTAACACCCAGGACACTATTGGAAAAATTAAGGAGTTTTCCCCCCTCTCATCTGAAAAATTCAAGTATGATAAATTTATGGAAATAGTTTAGTTAAATACCATTAAAGAGTTTTTATGGTTAGGATCTTAAGAAAACTGTAAGGTATTTCAATGTAAATTTTGATATCTTCAACGTCAAGTGTATTTGACTTCATATTTTTCAGACTGTCTTCTTTTTTTATCATCGTACAAAATATTTAATTAACCAAAAATCTTATAAATAAATTTCTCTCTTATTATCTTCTCTAGATCTTTTATGATTTCCTCGAACGCTAAAACTTGTACTACGGTAATTCCATCAGTTATTGTCGTCATAATGTGATGATTGTGATTAAAGTGATTAAAGTGATTATAACTAATAAATGCATTAACTTACGTCTAGTTTGAAGCAGAGCGAACTCATTGAAAGCGTGGACCAGTCCTAACGGTGGCAATATTACTTGCAGGACAAACGTCAGAGCTTTGCTCTCAATGTTAAACCTATGATGCACTAACAACTCCGATAAAAATGTCTGCATTAAAGTGAAAAGGAAGGTCCAAGTGCAGGCAATCCACGCTGAAACGAAAAAGTTCTAACGTTTATTTCTTATGGGGTAAGAAGATAATTAATTGAACACGTTGAGAACGTGACTAGTGCCACATAGCACGCTGTTATATGTATAATTCATAGAGCCTAAAATTTTAAAATAGCAAACATTCACAAGGATACCACCGTTTGGTATATTGCTATTATTTTAATATTAGAATAACATTGAAATTATATACGAGGATCATTTTAAATTTAATTTACTGATTTAGCGTTGCATATAAATAACTGGTGTGTCGTGTCGTTGGGTTTACCTTTATTGTGGAACATAGCCATTATGAGAGCGAGCATTATCAAAACGGTCTTGTAGGCGAGCACTGTGATGAGGGCGAACAGGAGGTGGATCCAACGAAATATGAGGATCAGGGTTATGCCGGCCAGTAGGCAGATCGGCAGCGCCGTGAAGTAGGCGTACATCAGCCAGCCAAAGTATATAGAAGAGAATGACACGTTGCGGATACGAAGGGCTCTCTGCAAAGTGTTATTAAAAAAATAAAAGAAAGTAAAGTAACAGACTATAAATGTCTCTGTACAGAGGGTCGACTACGCGTCCTCACTGCGGATTGGCGGGCCTCCCACATTTTCGAAAGTTTTTCTATTGGATTATTTCGAAAATATGCAGAGTACTCACGATGTTTTCCTTCACTTCTGAGCACGTTAGGTCAGAACTTAAGATTAACAATTAGAATGTTGCTGGCAGCGGAGATCGAACTCAGGTTGCTCGATTAAATTGAATTAAAAGCGAGCGCCTGGAGCGCGCTCACGGCTCTTAAGAAAATATCTTAGGAATTATTTTGTTTTAGTGCTAGTCTATGCACTCAAGCTGCTGTCATGCTGTAACGTATGGACATTTGACGGCATCACGCATTGCTGAAATGCAATGATAAAAGTAGATAGTATTCCGCGCCGTGAAGTCATCGGCCGCTTAGCTTAATCCCGGTTCCTATATTCAACGAAGGGCCGTTCATAATGACAATGTAACATTGTCATTATGAAGTCGTTATGAAAGCTACGAAGTTATGTATCTAACGGCCGTTCGTTGAATATAGGAACCGGCCATTAGATGGTAAAGCGCCTGAGAGCTATAACTGGAAGACGCAGGTCCGTATCCTGCAGTCATTTTTTTCGATAATTGTACAAAAATCATCACAAACCTTAGAGTTCAGAGCTCTTGGATTCGATTTTCATCAGGGCAATATATATGACGTACAGATAACTGTTTCGGGTCTGGATCTTTGTTCTGAATAAATTTTTTGTATGTTAACTTTGTGACATAGGATAAAGCAATATATTAAAATTAATGAAAACGTGATAAAATGTAGATAATATTGTCGTTCGTATTGCGCTTTTTTTCTAAACCAGATTGGTGCTTCTTGCAGCCAAATATCGAGAAAATATATGGCACTCTTCGGCGGTCTTCATCGCACATAAAAGATACAGGAATATTTTTTTTCCTAATTGTTTTTGCTACGTTTATGAAAGTGCAACGTTATACAATGTCCCAACAATAATATATAATTTATATAGGTTAATGAGAGATGGGAGCCGTTTGATACGCGCCGTGATACCTTATACCGTGACATTGTTTCCGTGACCACCAGCGCCTGTATTTCCAGCACGGGCGGCAGAAGGGCCACTGTGAAGCACAGCAGGATCTCGGCGATCGCTTGCTTCACGGCCGTCTGCCGCATCAGCGGCGAAATCGGCATCGACATTAGGCTTAACTGAAAAGGGACGCAACACTTTCCATTCTAAGTCTTGGAGACGGACAAAAAAGATGCTCAAAAGACAGGCTGCAGCGCACAAAAAAATAACCTCCTTTAAGTCATGATGTATTCTTAAAGCTGGACCTAAAATTTATGCTCCATTAGATAAGTGAAATTTACACCGGAAGCGGAAAAATACTGAAAACCTCGATTGTTGATTCTACAGCATAGTTTTAATATGAGCCTTTAAATAATCATTCTAATGGCATAAAATAAGCAATATATAAAAGCTGTCGAAATTAGAACTTAATCTGATTTATGCAATGATACTACAGTCTGTAGGTCAGTGTAATTTTTTAAATTGCTTTATTATATTATTATGTTCGTTTACTATAATTTGTAAAGAATTATTTAAAGAAGAATTATATCCAATCATATTGAGAGAACATTATGTAATGAAAAAGTTAAAAATATTATCCGTTCAATGACAGCATAACTTATCGTTTGATAACGGGGAAGTATGGTGACATTGAATATTGAATTGGAAATTTGAAGCGATTGCGGTTAACATGTGAATTGGTGTGTATTCTCACATTCAGCGTGTCAAGTTAAGTAACTGGTTACTCGTTTTATATGTTTATTTTTCACGGTCGTTCGCACTAGTGAATTCATCAAGTTTTAAATAAGAGACCCAAGGTGAATCCAATGTTATGAGCTATCGTTAACCCTAATAAATTGTAATAATAGTGGTAGAAAGGAGTTACATTTGATATTAATAACAAAAATAAAACTTATTTTAGATATTAAAAATATATACAATAAAAAATTAAGTTGTTTACATAAAGTATATTTTCAACAAAAGTCCTATCGGCCGAAATAGCTCAGTTGGGAGAGCGTTAGACTGAAGATCTAAAGGTCCCTGGTTCGATCCCGGGTTTCGGCAACCACATTTTTGTTCTTTTTGAAAAGTTATTTGTTACTTTGATTTTAACAAGATTATTTTTAAACTACAAAAAACGATATTAATTTTTATAGCGAGTGACTAATTTTCTTTATTACTTAACTAGCGGACCGCCCCGGCTTCGCTTGGGTAGTAATTATCATTTTTTATGTTTTTTTTTACCATGGTATGTGCAATTTATTCATTAATTAATTTGATCTATCTTGTAAGGTTCTGCCAGTGTTTGCAATGTAAGCGCACAAAAATATGTTTGTTACGACATCACTTTATAAATCTTTGAATTTCTTGGCTTGTCTTAACTATGATAAAAATAATCATAATAATTAATATAATAAATCATATTTGTGCTACTTCTCATGTGGCTCTTTCGCAAGTCCTTATTTTCTCCTTTTATTTGTCGGTTGACTGGTATAGAACACTTAAATGGTGTTAAGTCCGCCATTGTACGATATTATGCAAAAAGTTTTAAATAAATACTATTATGCAGGTATATCACATAATAAAGCATCTTCTTGAATCACTCTATTGCTGAAAACTGCAATAAAATCCGTTGAGAAACTTACCGATCCGACCAAATTAACTTTACGATGGAAATCCTCAATAGGTTTGCTGTGTAATTGTTAGTTCAATGCTGAGTGTCCTGTCTATGCTTACGTCAAACTTGGGTGGCTTTGTGGAGACGTGTTCCAGGATGGCTTGGCTCACTGCTACCTGAACACCCAGGAAGCCGCTGCTCATGTGCTGATTCGGTAGGGAACTGTTGCCAGAACTCATGGCCAGTCTAGCCTGCTCCGTACTCTTTATGCTGAATCTCCATGTATTGTTGTCCTTTCGACGAAATATAAGAAAGTTACAAAACATAAATATGCATAACTTAATAAAAGTTGTCCTTTCGAAATAATAAACCGTAATGAATAAGTATTACTTAATAAAAATTCAACGAATTTAGTAATGTCAATAAATTTTCCTTCAAATTTCTTGTGCTGCAATTACATCACAACACAAGAAATTTAGGTCGTAGTAGATTTTCATACTTGATAGAATCAAGTCTAAAATGGACAACAAAATGTTACATGCTAAATATGGTTATGTTGGAATGCTAGCTATGGTTCGACTATTTAACGTTTATAACAAAAACATTTTAGAATCAATAATAACATCCATACGATTTACTCTGATTTTAGTAATTTGCTAGAAAACTTTTTCGATTAGAGATGGGGATTTTATACATAAAAAATCCAAAAGTTAATTCGAAGAATGTAATAGACATGATTTTTACGGTTCCATAGCCAAAGGATAAAACGGGACCCCATTACTAAGTCTCCGACCTCTGTCTGTCCGTCTGTCTGTCACAAGGCCGTATCTCACGTGAACCGTAATAGTTAGTTGAAATTTTCACAGTTTCCCTTAGTTGAAGTTTGGTCTTAGGGTGTCGGTAATATTCACAAAGTAGTAAAAGAGTACATTGAAGAAAATTAACAGCCTATCGAGGTCACAAATCCTCTGTGCAGAGGGTATTAAGGCATAGGCCTTCACCTTACCGCACCGCATTCTTCACGCATCTTGGAGTTTTTTTCTATACATGAAAATATACTTTTACTATATAATATCTACAATGTTTTCCACCACCGCTGAGCACACTTAAAATTTACAATGAGTCAGCACTTAAAATTTACAAAATGCTGACAATGGCATGTGAGCTCAGGTTGCTCGAGTATATTAAATCAAAAGCGATTGCCGGGACACTAAGCCAATAAGGTTAGTAAGCGGAAATTAAAACTAATAATAATATTAATATTTAAATTAACATTTTTAAAACTAACGTTTTTTTTCCAAATAACCCATATCACCGAGTTATTCAGTGGCGTGCCTCTTGAACGTCTGTACAGTATATTGTTCAGATCATCCTCGGAATCGCCAGCAATGATTTCTGCAAAACGAAACGCTAATATGGATTTATCATTGCAAGTAGGAATGATATTATATACAAATACGAGGTAGTTATCACACTAGCGCACCGAAACTGAGGCCCAGAAATTACGCGAATTGATGTACATTTTTTTTTATGTGAAAAGTTGCCAAACGAGCAGACGGTTCACCTGATGTTAAGTGAATACCGCTGCCCATGGACATCTGCTTCACCCGAGGGTTACAGATGCGTTGACAACCTTTTGAAAATTGGGCTCCGGCTACCTCACTCACCAGACGAAACGCGAAAGTATTTGTCATACTTCCACTTTACGCTGGTCTTCTGTGAGGTCGTGGTACTTACCCGGACGGGCCTGCCCATTCGTGCAACAGCCGAGGCTGCTGCGTGGCCCTACCACCGTAAATTTCTGAAACAACCGTAAACACCGTAACTGCGATTCTATAGTTATATAACTTTTTCCGTATCATACTTTCTATATATCATCTGTCATATTCACTTATATATGTTATATAAAATAAAGCGGAACAGCTTTTAAACGTCGTGCAGTATGTATATGCGTAGGTATTCTTAATAAAATTTCATTGGCAAGTAGGTACTAGTTGAAATTCACCCTTATAACATATGTGGGATGAAACAAAACTAACATACCGATAAAACAAACAAAACATTAATTAAGTGTTTGCGTTTTAAGCCATCATTTTAAAATCAACGCCCTTGTGTGATGCATGGTAAATGCGAAACAAGAAAACGCACCAGCATGCGCTCCTCTGTACGCACCCAACGATAGATGGCGCTATTACTAATTCACCTGTATTAAGCATGTCTGCGGTTCTTTTCATGATCACATCGAATGGTGACACGTTGGGCGCAAATCCGAGGATGCTGCGGTGCTGCAGCGACGCCAAGATGTCGCTCGCCGCGAGAGGTGGCCTCGGCTCCGCTATTATCGGCGCAAGGAAGACAGGCTTGGCGATGAACACCGACGCCACGAAGAATATTCCGGCGAACAGCGTCTCGAACAATAGGATCGGCCATCTTCGTCTGAAAATGCGATGTTCATGTTAATAAGTTGTAATAATATCAGAAATTGCTTCTGATTTAATTACAACTCATACAACCGGAAAGTTGCGTCCGTAGTACATTATCTCTGGCTTCGAATTGTCTCACACGTACGATTGTGGAGAGAATTAATCATATGTGACATTTAAACTTTTTCACAAAAAAAAGTCTTCATTCCTTTTGTAATTAAAATTTATGTGGAAAAGGATCCATAAGTACAGCTTGAAATGATCGAACAACGCATTTCTAAGATTATCGAAAGTAGGTTTCATATTTTGACTCCACTCTAAAACGACACTGTTTTAACCATGTTGAACAGTTTAAATTACCTAATATATTTCATCGTAATTAAGGAAATTTGTCGATCTTAATTTATGAGATTATAAAATACGACGACGCAGTTAAACGGAGGCTCGGGGTCCATTTAATGTTTTTTTTTTGAATAATTTTGAACTGATGACAATACTTATCCAACATGTTGACCAAACAAACATCTTACTGTGGTAGGGTCACGCAGCAGCCTCGGCTGTTGCACGAATGGGCAGGCCCGTCCGGGTAAGGACCACGACCTCACAGAAGACCAGCGTAAAGTTGAAGTATGACAAATACTTTCGCATTTCGTCTGGTGAGTGAGGTAGCCGGAGCCCAATATTCAAAAGTCTTTGAATTGAAAGAGTCTTTGAATCGATCCGTGGCACCGAAGCCAATGGCTTACCAACTACGCCATCAAACTATCACAGTTCACGAGATTACCCGGAACAATTTTGTTGGATCCACACAAAATGTGTTCGACCACTTATTTGAATTAATTTCGAACGATGCTCCTGTATGTCAGGATCGTACTTCGTGGTAGTATGTGGTGGCCTATGTTCAGCAGTGGACTCGAACAGGCTGAAATGATGATGATGACGGTAAAGCTGCGAATGCCTTTGAAATTCACAAAACTGACTTACTGCCTCTGTAGGTAAGACTTCCAAACGAGCACGTTCACCTGTCGTTGGAAACGTATATGTTTTTTGGTCATTTTAAAAATTAACATGAGCAGTATTTTGACAGTTCAGTGACGTAAAGTCATACGAGAGATTCTCTGTGGTTCGCATTTTAAATGTATGCAAAAAAGGTTGATGTTCCTGTGGGAAATATTTTTTTTATATAAATATTATATAGCGTATAGCGTTTGTTGAACACTGGGTTAGATTTAAACAACTGAGAGTCGGACTCACGCACGAAGGGTTCCATACTATGATTACATAATATAAAACAAAGTCGTCCCGCTGTCTGTCTGTCCCTATGTATGCTTAGATCTTTAAAACTACGCAACGGATCTTGATGCGGGTTTTTTTACTAGATAGAGTGATTCAAGAGGAAGGTTTATAATACATTGCACCCGTGCGAAGCCGGCGCGGGTCGCTAGTTATCTATAAAAGCAGTTATTACATACAGGCAAGGGAGTCGTTTTACCCTATGGGTACGGAACCCTAAAAAGTACCGAGTTTACTGTTACCTGTCATAACATTAGCTCTATGACTAAAAACAATAAAAGATTTAAATCTATATTTTGTAGAAAGCCTTAGTTATCGCCACCGATAACCAATATAATCAAAATCAGTGAGGGATACCACCTGCGGGCTATCGATGTTCTCTCGCACAACTAAGATGGGCGTCGACTGTATTATAATTAATCGGTGGCTGGTTGGTGGTGGTGGTGGGGTTGGTGAGAACCGCGCTGAAACACAGGTGTCTTGAAGTCTTGAAGTCAAGAACCATTTGGTTAGATCTCTAAAATATTCGCATCACTGGGACTCTGCAAATGCTGTTTAGATCGACGATGCGCTGATATCACCAAGCACCGTTTATGAGGCGGATGAAATTAGTTTGGGTTTTAGTCAATGAAACGGAAACTGTAATTAGCTCTTGATATTCGCCTAAACTCCTATGCTTTTAAGCCGTAGTAGCTTGCTACCATTTACTTATTAAAATTTCATATGTTTGATATTTTATCATTGATTTATAAAAAATCGACTAACTTAATTAACTTACACATATATAGACCAAAAGTAATTAAGAATTAAATTAATTTATTTATCGATTTGTGCCTTAAATCTTATATAAGAAAACCCTATTTTTTATTATTGAACTACTTATAGTAAAATTTTTGTCGAAAATGAATATTAAAATTTTAATCATTGTGCATATTCAATATGCTTTTTTAGTTCTCGTGGCTAGTTCTTTCAATCTTAAAGAACATTATTTATTGGTTTAGTTGTAGAACAAACAATTGAAATAGAAGGAGAATAACAAATATTATGACAATGTTTACACACTTATTTACATATTTTGTATGGTTTAATCAACACAGAAGTCGCCGATGCCAATAAACTATATGTAAATATTGTTTTACCTGTGGTAATCCCCACTTAACTTTTTTTTAAATAGAATGCAGAGTTAACTAATTTTAAAACTTCCTAAATTACCTTTCCTATAATTTAACTTTCAATAATTATTGGAACCCCAACATTTAAACAGATACTTAGATTTAGTACTTTTAAAAAGATTATAACAATAAAAAATATTCCGTAATGCAGTCATTATTTCTAATTTCTATTAATGAATCGATATGTAAAATGAGTGTCCGCAATATTATTTAATAAAAAAACTTATAATATTCTTAAATAAATACAATTCTAGATACAAGGGAAGCATATGTAGCATATTTGTTTGTCTACAACTGCCCATCACAAAACATCGATAGCAGAAAAGTAAAGAGCCCAAAACAATAAAATTAAAAGCAGCCATATCCGTAGCCTCTATTTTTGAGTATTCTATAATGTATTCCGGTTAAGCTACTAATTGTGCTAATATTCTCACTTCAATGTTCCAAGTAGGCTGGCAGTGTATAAATAGAAAAATATTTTGGACAATGTCAGTATAAGTTCTCGCATGTGTTTAGTTTCAACCACGTAGTAAACGTAGTGGTTATATTCTCTTTGGTTTCAACATGATACGAGTAATATGTCTTATTGGAATTCTGTTCATCATTTCTCCGGCAAGAGCTGGTACGTTTCTATGTGTCTTTGTTACCCTTGTACTCAATATGTTAAAAGACAATTAGGTACTTTTTACATATTGATTCAGTAGAAAGGGTCATGGACTTTCTCGATCTAATAATTTCAGCATCAACAAAATGAATTCTTTACTAATGTGCTATGCAATATGTTTTGAAATGTTACGTTATTTTACACAGAATTTATTCGAATATAACTAATGGTTAAATAATAATTTTAGCGAGTTTAGGGCGTTTATAGCCGGCATTCCCTCCCTCCTGTAGCCATTAACACTATAAAGTGTTACAAATCGGAAATTTGAAAAAAAATTAAAATCTGAAAAATCTGACTTGAAATTTAATACTCATTCTGTTACAAACTTTTACGTTAACGTTGTCACCAGTTTCAGATTAAAAATCCCATATACGCAAATGTTTCATTAACTTTACTTCATATTTTAATATTTTATTGTAAACGTACGGTCGCACAGTAGTAGTCAAATTTTTCAGTCCGTTTCATTTTATTTAAAAAAGAGATATTTCAAAAATTTTGTTACTACCTAGCTTTCAATTGACAATGCATAATAAATATTTTCTTATATTATTAAATTATTTAGTATTATATATCTATAATAACAAATAATTTCCTTTCAGGAACCCGCGTAGTGCGCTCACCGCAATTCGAGTTTAGTGAGGCGAACGCGCAAGCGGCGTCCTTCGGAGGCGGCTACCATCATAACCGCAGACCGGAATTCGGTGGAGGTGGTTACGGCGGGGGCGGTTTCGCGAGAGGTGGCGGTGGTTTTGGCGGCGGCGGTTTTGGCGGTGGCGGTTTTGGCGGTGGTGGTTTTGGTGGCGGCGGTTTTGGCGGCGGCGGTTACGGGGGAGGTGGTGTCGGCGGCCAGGGCGGCGGTTACGGGGGGAGAGGTTTCGGCGGTGGTCACGGTGGTTATGGCGGCGGCCCTGGTGGTTTTGGCGGCGCCGGCGGGTTCGGTAATTCCGGTTTCGGCCAAGTCCCTCAAGAGTCTATCAGCGTATCGAAAAGTGTCAGCATTAACGCCGGGCCCGGTGGTGGTGCCGCCCAGTCGAGTGCTAACGCCGGATCTTACGGGAAACGGTAGTCACTAGGTCGGTGGAATAATAACCTTAGGAGGAAACGTTAGTGTTTCTCGATGATTCGTATGAAGATAAAATTTTAAATTGTGAAATTCATAGATTAAGTATTTGGAAGAAGTAATATAAAAGTTATTTTTGTCTGTGTCTTTATAGCTATAGTCAATTGTTTGTATTGTTATTTGAAATATTATTTTGCCGTACATTTTTTATATTTAAATAAAACCATAATACAGACTGTATGTAACATGTAAAGATAATATTAAGTACGTAATTATTATTAAGCATTATATTATATTATATAACTGTAGATTAATAAAATTGTTGTGAATAGTTTGCATGCATTTCTTTTCAAGTAATTATAATATTAAACTTCAAATGTATTTTTAAGGATATTGTCGTTTATTATAAGATTACGTATACAGTGATTCTTGATTTATTTAAAATTATTGATTAAGATATGATTGTAAATTAGACATTATTAACACAATTTATCACAGTGTTACTTGAAATGAAAAATCCTTCTTTATATACAACAACATTTAGTTCTGTGTTCGTCATCTAAGGCAGTTTTTGTGTAATAGATAATGTTATTTAAATGTTTTTGAACAAAAGCCTAAAAAAATCACACTTTGTTAGTTAGTACGTATACTATTTGGCACGGTATTTCCCCGCTCCAAGGAAATTTCACACGTGAAAAAGTTGGTTTCCTGACCTTGAACCAAGCGACTTATATTTTTATACGTAAGAATTAAATTAGCAGTACATTAATTTATGATGTTATATAAACTTATTATAATCATATTGTAGGCATAATCATATGTTCTGAACACTATAGTTTACGTAACGAAGTCTGTAAAATAAAAAAATAAAATCAAATGCCAAATTAAAATAAAAAATGCCATTAAAGCCCAAACGAAACTACTGTAAGGCAAGATAAATTTAGCATGTTCTGCGTAGCGACACAAAAATTAATCATTTTACAAACTGGCGATAGCCCGCACTAACTCACACTGACACTCGGTCTGACCGCTGAAAAAGTTTCGAAATTTCGGAAATAAAACTAAAAATAAGCAAGCTAAATCCGTAAAAATAGTGTCATTTAGATATAAGAAGTCTTCCTTAGTGGGTTCGCGTGGTGGACTATGCTTTAATGTCCTCTGTATAGAGGAGGCCTTTGCCCAACAGTGGGACATGTACCTGTATGGTACTAGCGACATATTAATTTTTAATCTATACCTATGTAATACAATATTTCATTACATTTTTTTTGACTCTACAATAATAACGAAATTTCGGAAATTAAAATCTAAATAAATCGCGATTGTATAACGAAGTCTTATAAATACTTTAATTTATTTTACAAATGTGTAATTTATGTATTTTATTATGTATTACCAACTCCATTTCCTGTTCTATTTTACATGGAACCGCAGTTTCCAATGGAGATGATTAACGCATATGATACATGCAACATCCCAACGTCTATCGGTAATCTTCTGAACTCTAGATTTAATCAAATGTGAGTGAAAAATTATGTTCTCACAAATTGTAGGGTTTTTTTTATGTGAGAATGTGGCCATTGAGCTGGCGGTACACCTGATGTTAATGACAACCGCCTGCCCATGGACATTTGCAACACCCGTAGGGTTGCAGATGCGTTGCCACCGCTTAATAATGGCCTTGGCTACCTCACTCACCAGACTGTCTTCTGTGAGTTCGTGGTACTAACCCTGTCCATTCGTGCAGCAGCGAAAACTTGCGTGGCCCTACCACGGTTCTAAAATATTTTCCTATAAAGCGGGCCTCGGGCCATTACAAGAAATTTAATAAACTTGTTTTAATTAAGTAAACCTCGTGGAAAATGAAATCAATATAGAAGTGTGTTAGATTGCAGGTTTAAAATGTTTGACTTTTTTTTTCAGGAGTGAATTTAATGTCTATGTCTATACTTAGCCAGCCGATTATCCTTTTTAGGGTTCCGTACCCAAAGGGTAAAACCGGACCATATTACTAAGACTCCGCTATCTGTCTGTCTGTCTGTCCGTCTGTCACCAGGGTATATATATCTCATGAGCCGTGATAGTAAGACAGTTGAAATTTTCACAGATGATGTATTTCTGTTGCCGGGATGACAACAAATACTGAATAATATAACAAAAAAATGTTTAAACGGGGTGTCCATAAAACAGACATGTTTTTTTGCCGTTTTCACAGATAATAGTACGGAAACCTTCGTGCGCGAGTTCGACTCGCACTTGGTAGGTTTTTCTTCATTCATTCAACATTGATGAGAATATATATCAGATTACTCAACGTAATAGCTGAAACTTAAATATATAAATTCATAATCAAAATCAAATCAAAATTTATATTATATTTAAATTCTTGTACTTAACGCCTGACTTTTGTGAGGCTGTGTCACTTCCTCAGGCAGGCTGGCGCATTTAAACAAAAACGTAAGCCTTTGCATTTTAATCCAAAAATACTGTCCATACAGCCCCCTTTTTTAAATATCTACCCAAAAATAAATAAAAGCGGATACACCAGACATATTTCGGGTATTTATTTGCCAAATATGTATAAATAAAACCTCTTTCCACACGAACACCGATAAATGTTGTTAAGTAATTGTATTAGAACTGTGTAAACGTATCATTAATTAACACATTCAAAAATTTTCGAGCGGTTCTTTCCCGTCGCTTGGGATTTTCAAACGCCAGTTTATCAACCTTCCATAGTCTTCGCCACTTATAAATATTCTATATTATATTCTCCGCTTATAAATGTTGTATATTATCTATATTATATTCTAGTAACGTAAGTAATTTCGTTGACATTTCGTATAATTGACCCCCGAAAAGTGTGACGAACCAATTCGCGTAGTGGATGTGGGTTTGATCTCCACTACTGCAAAAATATTATGTGATGAACATAGTGTTTTCCTAGTGACCGGGTGTTTATATATATCTATTATATGTATTTATTCACAAAAGTAAAGTACGTTTAAGTATGTTTATAGTTAACAAGTACCCATAGTACAAGCTTTGCTTAGTTTGGGCCAAAAATTCTGCAGACTTAAATGCACAATATTATTGAAAGATTGTATTATTGAATTTTTAACACTTAGTGTCTATTGAAATAAATGCTGGTAACTATAGTTATTTTTATTTAACTAATAGTTTTTAAAATGTTAAATGAGATTTCATCAGCTGCACAATATATATATATATTAAAACTTCTTACATTAAACTAATCAAATGACTTCAGCCGAGTGATTTGAAATGCAAAGAAACAGAAATATTTATTGTATTTAAACTAATGCCAAATTCAAAATAAGCTTTTTTAGCTTAAAAAATTACCTGCGAACGAATATATGATATTATGGTAAATATGAGGTGTAATATAAATTCTATTTTTCAAGCTGTGAGAAGTTTTTCACAAGAACCGAAATTTAAAATTCGACACTTCGGATAACCGTTTATCGTTTTTTATGTTAAACTAGCGATGCGCCCCGGCTTCACGCGGGTACAATGTATTATACATATGAACCTTCCTCTTGAATCACTCTATCTATTAAAAGAAACCGCATCAAGATCCGTTGCGTAGTTTTAAAGATCTAAGCATACATAGGGACAGACAGACAGCGGGACGACTTTGTTTTATACTATGTAGTGATGATATTAGGTTATACGTTACATCCAGTGTTACTAACAGTTCACAACCAACTGTCGTGTCTTTATTGACATTGTCGTATTTGTATGTTTGAATATGCGAAGTGTTTAGCAGAGCAGTATAAATTCGACTCAACCGTTGCAGGAGAGCTATTGGTTCCTAATATTTCGCATGTTCACAATGTTGCCTAAAGGTTTCATGTTAGTATTTCTGTTTGTGTGTGTGGTTGGAATAAACGCGGGTACGTATTTTTTCTCATATTTATATACGGCTTCAGCATAAAGTTGAAAGATTCATTTACTTTGTACGAGGCGTCAATGAGTCTACTTTTTGGCATTTTGAATTTGAATAAAAATTTCTTGGTTTAGAATGCAGTTGCTAACTAATTATAAACCCGATACCCTGATAAGCCTATTAAAAAATTAAAAACGCGTAACACTTCCAAGCAAACCACAAATTGAAAATTTAATATTTACAAGATTAAATATATCTAAAATTACATATTATCGAATAAACTTAGTCCACGCGGCATGGTGCCAAGAACGCTAGCTGCATTTCCTCGTTGAATAGTTATGCTTAATCTTTGAGCGAGAAAAGAACCAGCTAATTTAAAATTGTAAACACGATACGTTGGGAATTAAAAAGTAAACAAAACTATAATTCACCACAATGAAAAACTCGTATGGACATTAAACTATATACTTTTACCCGCTGTTTATGCAGAGTTGTTTAAGATCACAACACTGAATCGCATCATCATCATCATCGAAATATACATATTCTTATCATACATCCCGTATAGAGCGTAATACAAATTTCACTGAAATCCGTCCAACGTTTGTAGCCTGCAGTGTGAATAAACACAACAGTTTGCATTTATAACACTAACGCTTTTTACAGGGGTTGTAAACACTACAGTTTGCATAATGTATAACATTAACGCTTATTGCAGGGGTTATAAACACAACAGTTTGCATTTATAACATTAACGCTTTTTACAGGGGTTATAAACACAACAATTTGCATTTATAACATTTACGGTTCTTACAGGGCTTCGCGTGGTGCGCTCGCCTCAGTTCGGATCATTCAGCTCGGCAGATGCAAAAGCCAGTTCCGGCGGCTTTGGGCGTCCGAATGCAGGGGGGCCTTCCTTCGGTCCTAACCAATTCGGCAAGCCCGGCTTCGGAGGTCCGGGATTTGGGAATCCGCGACCTGGAGGCCCGGGATTTGGTGGGCCGGGATCTGGAGGTCCCGGATTTGGCGGCGGTAATCCTGGGTTCGGCAACAGGCCCGGCTCCGGCACCAACATCAGCATATCCAAGAGCATCAGCATAAGCACTGGGAATGGCGGCCTTGCAAAATCCGAAGCGAAGACCACCTCTGGCAAATGATGATTAAACTATACAGTTGCTTTCCCAATTTATAGTCCGCACCTATGTCCCGCATAGAGGAATAAATAGAAGCTATAACTTTAAAAAATCATGCTTATATGTGATACACAATCGAATTTAAGGAATATTACAAGGATTAGAAAATATTTGTTGTACAGATATTATATTTTTTTCTGCGTTCGTGTGATTTATTTCTATAAGACTTCCATTTTCCTATGCTTCTTAAAATATTGTGTCCTATAAATTACATTCGTCAGTAGTCCATCAGTATATATGTAATATTTGAGTCTATATCGGATACTGAGCTCTTGGAAACGATAACTAGACACTACTAGAAGCGTTTGGACATACATTAATAAAACTAAGAAACTGTCACCCGCAGACAATCGAGGCCCGGTATGCGATCACCTTCCGCTATTATAGTCGGTGGTCTTATAAAAGTTGTTGTTGATGGTTGATGGACCTTGGTTTTCGAGAGCCTTTATTTCAAAGTATACTGTACGACCTACACACTTCTCTCATCTCAATTTTTATTAAAATAACTCTCACTGTACTGGGAGCACTTTATTTTGGTCTATATTCCAATTCACTATATTCCTATTTAATGCCTGTATAACAAGACACTACTAATACAAGACCAATGTATGCTTTAATGCACTAGGGGCGTTTCCTAGTTATGAATTAAAGAAACCAGAACACGTATTTCTTTTTACTTTTAAATGTTTTAATGGTGCTTATGACACATTTATAGACTCTTTCAATAACATAACCTGCATTGAATAAGCTTTGTATAATTTGAAATAAATGTACGTGTTAATAAAGCCATAAGTGATAAGTGAGAAACGGTTCATCGTTTTATTTTGAAGAACAAAATTGACTGATCATGTGGCTTAGACGGTAATTCCCCTAATAATTTTAATGAACTAACGTCATGTTAGCTTCCTGATTACCTGATGGAATTACATAATTAAAAACCATTTGTTTTTAATGCTTTCTTGTAATCGAAGTTTACTACTAATTTTTTTAGAAATTGTTGAGTTTAATCTAGTTACTAAATTAATCTAGTTGCCAACTTCTACAAAACGCTAGGAACCAGGCGCATAACGATAGGAAACAAAATAAATATCACGTCATCTTGATGGTTGTAGTCCGTGTACCTACTTTGTCTATACGCTTCACTGGTGGTATTTTCGGAACACTAAGATGCAGACACTAAAAAAGATATAATTTTATTATAAACGAGTAATAAACGTATACTACATACCGTATTTTAAATTACTAAACATTTATAGACGCTAGCGATCAGACCGAGCTTTTCGAGCTTCATGGTGGTTTATGGTGGTGGCAGTGTCTACGAAAAGCTCAGATTCTGTAGTGCCATGTAGAACCTCAGATTCTGAAGACTTTTTTCTCCTTCCATACGGTTTTGCGGACACGCTTTGTACTTCCGGATCCTTCATTTTCTAAGCACAGAGTTTAACCTCTTTATTACAGCTGATTACATCAGTGTAATGTGACTCGTCCAATCTTGTTCGAAAGTAGTTGCGGAGGCTGTACATTAGATGATTGTGAATGGTTAAGGCACTTAATAATCACGCTCGCTACGCTTCCGTGGCAAGAACAGACTTTTCACTGACGATTTCGTATCATGCATCCTGTGAGACATCGTAGGCGTCCGGACTTGTGGGTCCAAGGAGTAAGGTCGGTTTGACTCCACCTGAGTATTTCAAGGTATACAAGAGTATCATTGTTCACGCCTGACAAATGGATATTAAAAACTTGTCAGGCATGCAAAAAAACAAAACACGAACTTAATGCTTCTTAACAGTCTCATGATACACGTGTTTTGTGACATACCCAGGCTTTGGCTTCAGCCTTGGAATCTTTATACCATACAAATCTATGTTCCTCGAGTTAGTGACCTTTCTACTTATCCATCCTTAACTCATATCCTTATCCGATGTTCGTCAGCCGTCCTGAGCTACAAGAGAAAGGATCTCACGCAATACAATACAATGCTCGAGTTTAGTGTAGGGTAGATTTTTTACGGTTCGGGGACCATTCATAGCCATGTATGTAGCACTGAATCGAATGTCATTCTGTAGTCCATCCAGGTGGCAGCAAAGTCCCAAAGGTTGCATTTAACCATTTTGCCCATGACCGTGACAATAAGAAGAGTTTCCTTGGTTCCCGCCGCCATGACATCTATTCTGAGCACGCGGCATGACTGTAATGTGCAGAACGATTCTCATGCTCGGAATAGATGTCCGTGTTTTTTAGATGGCGTAACCACCAGAATTCTCTCAAGTTTAGTCGTAAATAGTAAAAAGTAGGGTTTCCCAAACATCGACAATAGTAACCAGAACATTATAGTCTTTGTGTGCGGGCTATCTTAGCTCCATAGAATTATAAGGTTAATAGATTATATAAATTTAACTGAGATTTTCTGATGTAGTGACAGAATAGAAATATATTAAGAAAGTCGTAGAAGAAGATAATGCTGTTAGCTTGACCATTTAGTTAAAATTTTCAATACACTTGGGATTTTTACACGGACAATCTGGCGTTAAAAAGTAAATTTGGGTAGGAAATACTACGAAATACTACAAACGGAAGTAATTTTTTTATCGAATAAGTTGAACATTATTTATAATAAAGTTTAAAAATACGTTTATTTATGTGAAAAGTTGTGTAGTGCGCAAACGGTTCACCTGATGTTAAGTGATTATCACCGCCGATTGACAAATGTATTACCGATGGCTCCAAAGTAAACTGACCTAAGTGAAAAAATCAAATTTTACAGGAGAGCAGTTTAAAGTATTCAGAAAGGTATTTTGGATCAAATTTTGTAAACTATTGAAGCAATTTTTTTGAAATTGGCAATAAGTATTAACAACCCGTGTTATTTATCACGCTGAGACTAATTTTTATGTAATTTAAATATATTTCGAGATTTTGCACTTTCGACTTTTTACATCTTTGATTTTCTTTTATTCATCTTTTATTATTCCACGTAAAAAGACTTTTGTGATCTTCCATTACGCCATATACGAGAATCAGTATTAATATATGTCTTTATACTAAAATATGTTATTAGGTCAATGAGAATTTACCCAATTATCTCAAAATTGAAATCTAAACTTAATGTCTGGTACCTAGAAGATGGTACGCTGGGAGGTAAAGTTGACGATGTACAAAGGGATCTTATCGAAATTATTAGATAATTTAAAAATATCGGACGATCTGATATTATGTCAAAAACGGCTGCATTTCAATCAATTTATATTTTTTATTAATTATTTATTTGGGTGCCTTACTAAAAATAAATTCAATTTCAATTAATTTCTTTTGTTACTTCACAAAATTAATTTATAACATTAGTTGGTATAGTTCCAAGAAACCTAAAAGCCGGATATAAAACTGCAAATGAGAAAAATCTATAACACTCAATATAGATATTACGTAACTTAGTGTGAGGTCATTTCTTTGTATCGCTCCATACTTCGAGCATTTACATTCAAAACCCAAATGTCTGTACATAATAAACAATCCGCGTAAACTTCTTAAAATTAGCGTAAACTCCAATGTTTGCGTTTGCAATTCGCCGCTTACAATTATATGAGGGCTCCATTCTTGGAAGGAAATGTTATCACATCTTTATAGCTTGCCTATAAATTGTTACAAAGTCGACTCCTTCACCAGAACAGTTTGAGTGTTTCACCAAGATGGCTCAAGCATTTATTATTTTAATTACAATCAGCGCGATTGTGGTTCAAGGAGCGGTGTTAAAAACCGAAGGTAATGCAAAACCATAATAAATAATTTAAACAGTTAATCTCAACTCCAATCGGTTACCGAATAGTTTTGGAACTATCGGAGGTTGATCATTAGTATGAGTGGGATTACTTGGCGGTCGCGCCCCGTCTCCCACTGTATAATGCTGCATATAACACAATACATAATTTAATAGCTATAGTATAATAATCTAATATAAGATATACCAACCTTTTAGACGCCGTTTTGAGAAGATTAGCACGATCTCCCTGCGGGGAGTGTGATTTGAAAAATGGCCCACCACCGCCGCCGCTGCCACCACCACCTCCGCCACCACCGATGCCACCAGGTATCCCACCGTTTCCGATGTTTCATACGCAACAATGGAGTGGACTGACCCGTGGCGATGACGGATCAGAACAGGGTCTGTTCAGCGGGGCTGCCGCTGGAATAGATGGAGGCTTACAGAGTGGGAGTCAGGCATTTTCTTTGGCGTCCACAGCCGCTGGTTCTGGAATTTCTGACAGTTCCAATGGAGGATCGGCCGCAACCCAACAATCATCTAATTCCTTCGGTGGCAAAAATTCTGATAGTTTTGGTCAATCGTCAGGTGGAGCTGGAGGCCTCGGTGGTTTCGCTGGTGGGAAATTCGACGGAGGCAAGAGCAGTTACAAAGAATCTCATTTCTCATATCAATCTGGCGGAGGGAAAGATTTCGGATCGGGTCACCACCACAGTAATTTTGGTACTAATGCGGGTGGCAGCAATGGCTTCGGGGCGGGATCTTCATCGCAGAGCTCTTCGTTCGCGTCCAGTGGCACCAACAGAGGCAGTGGTGTGGGTTCAGGGGGACAGTTCCAAAATGGAAACTCAGGATTTGGGGGTCCAAGCGGTTCTGGAGCCACTGGGACTGGTCAAAGTGGCTCTGGGTTTGGTTACAGTGGTCACGTCGAAAGTGGAGGTTCTGGATTCAGCCAAAGTGCTCAGTACGGACAAGCAACTTCGGGCTCAGGAGCAGATACGGGGTATTCTGGAAATCAGCTGTTGCAATCACAAAACGGTTTTGAAGCCGCTGGGAGCGGTCACAGTGGCACTGGATTCGTATCCAGCGGTCATTTCGAAAGTGGAGACAAACACGGGCAGTACCAACAAACAAGTTCTGGGTCAGCAGCAGGTACAGGGTATTCTGGAAATCTACAATCACAATCGCACAGTGGTTTCGAAGGTGCTGGGAGAGGTCACAGTGGCCCTGGCTTCGGGTCCAACGGTAGTGGAGGCGCTGGGTTCGGAGGCCTAAACGCCCAAAGCGGGCAGACTGCGGGGTCGGAATACAGCGGACAAAGTAAAAGCAATGGATTTCCTGGCGAGCAACAAGAATTGCAGCAAGTATCGCAAAGCGGTTTCGGAACCGGAACGGGCGGGGCGCATGGATTTTCTTCCGGATCAGACTCATCCAGTTCCAGCCAGTCATCGACGGGCTATGGTTCCGGCCAGGGATACGGTGAATTGCAGACCGGGATAGGTGGTGCTTTCAACCTGGCTTCCCAGGGCTTGAAGCAGGCCGAACAACAGCAGAGTGGGTGTAGCACTTGCGGAAAAAGTAGCTATGCTCTTAGCAATGCAAAGAGTCATACTGGTTCCGCCATCGCTCTTTCAGTTGCGGGCTAAGCGAAATAATGAAAAGAAGACCAAATATTAGAAAATCTAAACTAGTATTAGAGCTTTTTTGAATCGTTTAATTTATTAAATATAATCAGTTTCATAATATCTGCCTTTTATTTGTATTATTCATTCATCATATCGTTATTTGTGGCGCTCCTAGTAGCTAGTTCTAGTAACTGTACATCTACCGGCTGATGATGATGGTAATTTATTCGTGAATTCAATTCTCACTCAACATATATTATTGAACTAGTATGATAAATCACTCTCTTATCTTTTACCGAACGAACCCTTCTTAAACGAAATAAGAGAATTATTTCCGTAGCCAGGCAAAGTACTACTCACGCTACTTTGTTACTTTGTGACTTTGATTAGACGTGGAGACAATTTCTCGGTAGCATCGTCTTCCTAGACATCTGAATATAACTAATGGTCAAAGGCAACTATATGTATCACTAGCATGCTATACCATCTGCATAAACAAACTTATTAATGGAAGGAGCTATGAGAAGATTTAACTTAGACTTTATGCTGCACTAGCAAGGCGTTAACTTGTTACCGTTCCATCGTCCAGAGCAGAAAGTAACACAAGATAGAAATTTTTATTAACTTCATTGAGCCAAAAACAAAATAAACGAAAAATTATTAAAATTATCGGAAATAGTATGAAATCTGCAACATCATTGGTAAATAAGTTAAATAAGTTAACTCTCACTCAATAACAATATTAGAAAAAGTATAGTCTGTTTAGTATTTTTAAGGATAATGTAGTAGATAAATATAACATAATATATGGGACGATTAACACCAATCGACATACAATTGTATTTATTATTGAGTCAACGCATCTCGTAATCTATACATATAAAAATGAATCCCTGTTTCTCTTGGTCACGCCATCACGGCGATGTCTTAGAAAGAGTATTATCGTACGTCTTACAGTTTGATATGATTATAATCATCATCATCATTTCAGCCTGTTTGAGTCCACTGTTAAATTATATAACAATTACAATTAATTATATTATTACATTAAGAATGTTAAGTTGTAAATGAGTTGAGGCGAAAGAAAGGAGTGTATTTTGTTTGATTCTGAAATTTAAGTAAACAATTCATTATTAATACTTCAATTAGTTAATTAACTTTAATCTCTGAAGTAAATAATTAATTTTATATTTCATTAAAGTAAAATGGTGTGGTCAAATCTGTGGTGTTATTAGTATTACTGTAATCCTTATATTCCACTAACTGAACGTTCCAACTCGTATAAACAAAAAAACAATTATAACCAAAATGATGGTGTGGTCGTATATAACTACTCACTCTTTTTTATTATATATTATATATTATCTATTATAATTATAAAAATTTCTCTATTTTATTCTATATTATAAAAATATCTCTTATATATTATAAAAACTTTAGAGAGCCAAGTTTTTCTGAACCTTATTCCCTAATTATTACTATAAGTGCCGACATAGCGATTGTTGTTGTTTACAGACCATACGCTTCTTCTGATCTTTTAATATTTATACAATCGCTGGACAGAGCCCTGAACGAACTCAAACATATTTTATAGACATTAATATATAAAATATAATATATAACATATAATATATAATATATAATATATAATATATAATTTATAATATGTAATATATAATATATAATATATAATATATAAAATATAATATATAATATAATTAATATAAGCCACGATTGTCATTCTAAACACTCTATACACTATCCTATCTATGGATCTCCTCGCTCACCACGGACTCTTCGTGGGCCATACCTACCCCACACACGGTTCCACTTGCCTTGACCACACCAATCTGAAAACTTCTCTACCATCTAAAATTTTACCTTGCTGTCTGTAAGTATAAAATTGATAAAATTAAACTTCCTTCGCTTTACTCAACTAAAGACACCAACTTAGCGACAAAATATTTAATTGTTCCTATTTTACCTGGTCTAGCTAAAAATACCACCACGGTTACCTTGTCACGCAGACGTAGACCGATCAAACCTTGGATAACGCCAGCACTATTCAAGTGTTTGCAGCATAGAGACAATTTATATAAAAAAAATCAAGAAAAAGTCCACACACGAAATTCTCGATGTCTTGTATAGAAAATAGAGGAACTATTGCACCAACCTATTGCGAAAAGCTAAAACAGATTATGAAAAACTAGAATTTAAAAAGGCTGGTAGGAACTCTAAACAAATATGGAATGTTATTCAAAATGTAACTAAGTCTCAGACGGTCCGCATATGAACTTTTAGAAACCTATGACGATAAGGAATCTTCTATATTCTGCGCTCAATCAAAATTATTTGTGCTGTTAAATACCGATAAGTGTGGAACGTGGAAGGTGGAACGCCTTATAATTTCTTTAAAAAAATGGCTCTTCTTTTTCTTACAAGCAGGCTGGATTAGAACCACGACCTCACAGAAGACCGGCGTGAAGTAGAAGTTTTGTACTTCTGCGTTCCTTCTGGTGAGCGAGGTAGACGGGGCCCACTTTATTAAGAGGTGGCAACGCATCTGCAACCCGGAGGGTGATGCAAATGTCCATGGGCAGGCAGTTATCATTTAACATCAGGTGAACCGCCAGGTCGCTTGCCACTTTCTCACATAAAAAAAAAGTACAGTACAGATTTCATATTAGCACAGATTTATCGCGTCAGCCCGGATTAACAATGACATTTGGCCGTCTAACGTCTTAGTTCGTCCCGTGACCATGAATGTAGTAAAGTATTCAAAACGTCCGGAATTTAATTTTAAAATACCTAAAAACAGTTTTGTACAATAATGTGTGTTCATGTTATGTATTTTCGCAAAAATATAAGCAATTATTATATTAGTGAATTACTTATAAAACTCGAAGGCTTCCGTAAAGAATAAGCGACAATATTTATATATTATATTGGGTAATGGAAACGGATCACTGGGAATAACCTAAAGATTTGCTAACTGCCGCCATAGACTTCGCACCTAGCCTGTAAGTGGCCATATTTAATTATCACCTGGTCGCGTTCAGGAATCGTTTCTAAGTATTTTCCGCGTGTGGTTTACCGTGGGTATAAAATTGTAACGTTCTACTAAAGGCGTCATTAATATCAGCCAAAATGTGGCGGAAGGTGGCAATTCTGTTTGCCCTTTTCATTTTTGTCTCATACTCCGAAGCCGTACAAAGTAAGAATTTATAATTACACTTGAGGTATACTCAGTACACAGTAAAAGTGTTTAGTGAAAGATCATCTAACATTTGTCCTATTGAGCTGTATTCATATGACTGTTTTCAAACATTGTGAGTTTTTAGTGAAAAAAAAAAATATCAAAAGTTTTTACAAATATGTAGTTACATTATAAGTATAAGAAACTGGCACTATTACTTAACATCAAGTTAACCGTCTGCTTTTTCAATGTATACGAACTTGAAGGAAAGCTAAAACTTTTAAACTTTCTACCGTTCAATGTTTTTGTCGCAGATGGCCTTACCACCAGATTAAAACGTTCGCCGCATTACTGCGACTACCCTCCGCCGCCGCCGCCACCGCCACCGCCACCTCCACCACTGTTCTGGTATCCGCCGCCGCCACCACCGCCGCCGCCGCCGCCGCCGCCACCACCACCACCGCCACGCTGGCCACAGTTCATTCAGCCACAAGACACACACGATGAGAATAACTTCGATGCTGGCGCTGGTGACGTGAGCGGTGGTGGCGCACCACCATGCGATAAATGCTCTCATCGGAACGTGGCCGTCAGCAATGCCAACAGTGATGGGGGGGATGCTGTAGCTGTCGCCGTCGCCAAAAGCAATAGCGGATAGAGATTGACGAAAAGACAATCTTTCATTGATAGATGACTCTAATTGTGTTATTTTAATATTCGTGTAGAAACATGTACCTGGGAGAGTCCTTTTAAAATACACAATTCAAACATTGTACGGCTACCGTTAATTAATAGTAGATGTTTGTGATAAATAATGATAGTTTGTTTCTTTTCTGTCTTCATTAGCTCTAGATCGTTTTAGTTAAAATAAGTGGATGGCAAATAAGTTGAAATAATAAAAAGTGGCATATGTTTAGCAGTGGACTCTACGGGTGAAATGATGATAAATATGAATAAAATGTGACTATAAATAATATATGTTAATAAAATGTATTATAGTAAAATGGGATTCTGTTTTCTTTGTCTAAGTGAAACTGTGAACGCTTTACTTCATAAGGCTGCTTACTTGTTACCCCACATGTGTCTGTAACTGTTTCCTTTATGTTATCTTTATGTGCCTCATGTCATTATTATAATGTACGCAAGATTCTCAAATTTACTGATCTCAAATCATGTTTGTATGACAGCAAGTAATATGAAAAAAATAAAATAAAAGTGGAAACTTAGATGCACAGTTTTTGTTATTTAGGTAAAAAAATGGAGGTAATGCTCTTTAAAAGGTGAAGCTTCAAATCAATGAGTATTGTATCTTTTTGAGTATTGGATTTTTTTTACGAGGAGATTGACATAAGCGCAGCCCGTTAGACATTCATATGTATCACAGACATAAAGTTGAATGTATGAGCATAAATGAATTGTTATTATCCTGTGTGTTGCCAATTATTACTCGAATTGGACGAGCAATTCTTGTATAATATCGGAATCTCGGAAACGGCTCCAGTGATTTTCATGAAATTTAGCATGTGCGTAGATTCGGGGGCGAAAAATCGATCTAGCTAGATTTCATTTTTAGAAAATGTCCTTTTATCCCTGTTTTCAGGGAATGAAAAATATAATTCGAATATGACGGTAAATTTCACCGCAAGAGAAAATGTCATAATAGCTTGGTCGGTAATCTTTAAAACAGACGGCCGTGGTTCGCGTCACGATCATTAACACATTTATTTTTTTACCTTTTTTTCGATTCCAGATCATTGCTTTCTTTATTTTTAATTTTTTGTCGATTTATTATTTTGTTATTTTTTCCCCTTTTTTTTAAAGTTCTTTCTTTTGTGAAAAACATCAGTTCATATTTTCTTATTATTACGTCGGTAAGATCGAAAAATATTATGCATATTTCATTACTCAGTAATTTGTATCTAAATGTAATTTCCAAAATACACGATTTACAAAATAAACAAACCGAGCAAAGCTCGGTCCTCCGGGTACTTCTAATAATAAAATAAAAATAAAAAACCCTTTTTTTGACCAAGCTACATTTCAACTTAGTTACTAAATTATTATATATTGCTTACTAATTGCTAATATATACTAAAACAAAATCTTGTTTTATTAATACTTAATTTTTTTTTATGTGAAAAGTTGCCAAACGAGCAGACGGTTCACCTGATGGTGGGTGAATACCGCCGCCCATGGACATCTGCTACACCAGAGGGTTACAGATGCGTTGACAACCTTTTCAAAATTGGGCTCCGGCTACCTCACTCACCAGACAAAACGCGAAAGTATTTGTCATACTTCCACTTTACGCCGGCCTTCTGTGAGGTCGTGGTACTTACCCGGACGGGCCTGCCCATTCGTGCAACAGCCGAGGCTGCCGCGTGGCCCTGCCACCGTAAATGACTTATTTTTACTACCCTTAGTTTTTATACGTGTAGTCTGATATTTGACGAGAAAACTTACACGATTGGAGGTTGCGAAAGTTACAAAAGTAAATAAAGACGCCAAACGCAAACGTTATTAATTATTTAAACATAAAAACCAATATGACAAACCATCTGTATAGATGATGTCGTATAGTTCTCGCAACGGTACTTGATTTTTAGTTAGAATGTATCGAAAAGAATCTACACTCTCTCGGATTTATATTGGTTATAAAATTTTATATTCATACTAATTAAAGAAGCTTAATTCGAAAATCGAATAGACAGACAATGTTGATAATAGCAACCTAATTTTGAAAAATTTCGCGGCTTCTCATACTAGTAAGCGTTTTACGAAACCAACAAAGAGAATAAGAAGTTTGCATAAATTGAATAAAGACGTTAAAATTAACTTAAAAGTTTTTTTTTTTTTTTGGGCTGTATGAGCCACTGTTGGCCTTAGGGGCCTTTACAGATCCGACGGACTTGAGGTGGCCTGGCGCACGAGGCGCCTAGCCTGAACCTCGGCGTACTATTATTACGCGTTATGGTGACTAAGCTCGAGGGCTCCCGGGGGAGCCTCGGCTCGGGCCGTCACGCTATTATTGTTACCGGTTTGGGAGGCCGCCAAGCTCTTAGGGCGCTTTGGCGGGCGCTCCATGGAGTGATCAGGCTCAAGGGTCCCCGAGAGGGGACGTCGGCTTGGGCTGTCACTCAGCACGCGTTTAGCATTCCGATTCGAGGGTGCCCGAGAGGGCCGGACCTCGGCTCGATCGGTAGCTATTTTCTGACTGGGGGAATTACTAGAGCTAACATTACTACCACTTCGGAGAGCGTTGGCGCTGGGAGAAGAAGTGGCGGAAGAAACTCCAGCAACGCTTCTATCATTAATAGAGGAAAACCTGCCAGGTACGTGGCGGAACCTAGTATATGTTTGCCGCACTCGCCGGCGAGTGCGGTGTGTGTTGGTGTGTTTCTTGAGTTTTTTTGATCCTTTCGATGGCGATAGTCGTCTCATCGTCAGGGAAGTCGAGAACGTGACGCGGTCTTCGGTAATCGCGGCGGAAGATATTTAGCGGCAAGGGCCTGTAGGTGACGGCACCCACGATAAGTGGGTTGGGATGCGCGGCGGCGGAATCGAAATATCGGCGCGACGCCGACTTCAGGAATTGCGCGATGGTGGGCAATTCTAGATCGATATGTAGGTCGATATTGCGCATGAACCAGGGTGCTCCCGTGGCTCTGCGCAAGAATCGATTTTGAATCACCTGAAGCCGGTGTATTTGCTTCGGAGCAATGTGAGCGAAGACGGGGCTCGCGTACGTCATGATAGGGCGAACTACTGCCTTATATAAGGTCACCTTGTTCCGTAGGGACATTTTTGACGTTTTATTGAGGAGCGGGTAGAGGCGACCGAGTACGAAGGCCGCCCGGTTCCTGACCTGGGTCACGTGCTGGGTGAATTTAAGCTGGGAGTCGAGGACGACGCCTACATATTTGACTTTATTAACCCATGGTACTGGGCTGTCCAAGAGTTTAACGGGGGGTGGAATGGGTATTTTCTTTTTGTGCGCGAAAAGGACTGCCACGCTTTTGGCGGGATTGATTTCGATCCTCCATTGCCGAAACCAGTCACCGATGGTGATGGCCGCAGCTTGGAGGCGTCGATGGATCAATTCGGGTGTTCTGCCTGTGGTATAAATACAGGTGTCGTCGGCAAAAAGAGCAAGTTCTACATCTTTGACACGCGGCATGTCATTGGTGTAGAGAGTGAACAAGACTGGTCCCAACACCGACCCTTGGGGCACCCCGGCTCGAACGGGATGCGTAGTCGAACACACGCCCCTCGACGCGATAGCGAAAGGTTCGATTACTTAGGAAGTCTCGTATTATGCATACGAGACGGTCGGACACTCCGTACCCGTATAGCTTGTATACGAGCCCGTTGTGCCAGACTTTGTCGAACGCTTTTGCCACATCCAGGAAGAGTGCACCGGTGTTGAGTCCACGTTGACGTTTAGTTCAAATGTGCTCCGTGATGCGGTGCACTTGATGGGTACATGAGTGTTTGGCTCTAAATCCAAACTGCTCTGGGATGGGGAGCCCTTTGGTGTCCATAAGGGATCTTAAGCGGGCTAATATTAGTCTTTCAAAGATCTTCCCAAATGTTTTGAGAAGACTTATTGGACGATATGAGGTTGGGAGAGTGGCGGGTTTAGAGGGTTTGAGAAACCCTATGACATCGGCTTCCTTCCACTCGGATGGGAAGAAGCCTTCGGTTAAGGCCGCGTTGTAAATTAATACTAGTATCTGAAGGATGCTAGTAGGGAGGAGCTTTGTCACCTTATTGGTGATACCATCTGAGCCTACTTAAAAGTTTTCGACGCAACTGCATAACATCGATATTATGCTTATCGATGTTGTCCATGGTTAGCGAAATTACTGCCTAGGAAGTGGATGATCTGCTTGCTTGCTTATCCCGTGAAATAATAAGAAGTGAAATCAGAACATACTGCCTAATTCCGAATATAACTAGCGCTAAGATTTATGCACATTTCCCAAATATTTTGCAGTTTCTAATAGCCCACAATTACAGACTCCGAGGGGATTCCGAGACCAAATGTTATCTATGTTGCTCTGAATCTCACTGCAGCATAAAATCTCATATCATAAAATCTCGCTGTACTAAAATCATATCGTTCAGTCGTTCCCTTACAGTAGAACGACTAGTGGGTAAAACGTAAGATCGAGAGATGAAGCCTCAATGACAGCTATTACACTAAACTGCAGATATTACTAATGAGGTAGACATGTCTAACTGGGGTTGGGGGATTAAAATAAAACACTTAAAAGAGCGTTTTATCAAACTTACTCGTGTAGTAATTTATCTGTCGTATGAACTTCACAATAGGCAAAAGGCCAATATTTAATTAACGAATTTTTAGTTAGACTTCAATTATTTATCACCTTTTTGTTAGCGTGCGAATGTTTATTCGTAACGTTATTTCTTTAGCAATCTATCTGTAATTCACTTAGCAATCGATATGAACGTAGCAAGTTTGATGTACTGCGCCCACAAGTCGCTTATTAAATGCAATGCAACGCATAAAATAATTGTCTATTTATTAAAATTTTGCTACCAACGATTAAATCGTCAATCGACGAATTTACATACTTTATAGAACGTACTAGGATTGTGATATTTACCTATAATTTGCATCCTACTCCATAA